CGGGTCGCGATCTGGTGGTAGATGCATTCGCGAAGTATTTGTACCTACATGAGCTGTTAGGTCTCCTTCGGCGGCACTGGGATAGCTGTTAGCAAATCCCACCGCTCCTGGCTAAGACTTGCCCATTTGTCCAGGTGAAACAGGAAAAACCTTCCTTCCAAAAAAATATAGCTGGAGGAGGAAAATGCAAAAAATTTGTCCAAGGAAAGCAGTCTAGTTTATGCTAGATTTAATCCTGGACATAAATACTTTTACACTTTGCAATGATAACATTAGCTCCATAGAGCTCGCAGCGACTGGTGGGCTTATAGACCGACTATATGCGAGCTATCATACCTAATTACAGCTGAATGACTACTGAATCAAATTTATTTATTGGACATCAGACATGCACCGTGAATTCATCCGCGACATATTCGTAAGTCAGCACCGTGAAACACGCTATATTTTCGATGATAAGGAATTGCTTATAGTAATTATTATTTGTGTCTCCATTTGAAAGTTTTATTTGTATTTTAGTTCGCGTGACTTATGCTGGAAATATACATTTATCACGAAAAACGCCAAATAATTATCAGATTCTTGGGTTCGGATCAAACTTCGGGCCGATTTGTTTTTTCCTACCTATTTATTCACTGTTTGCTAACAGGATATTCTAGCTAGGCGTCGACGGGTAGGTGATCTCAAAGACTCAACCTGTGAAAATTTGCTAACACTAGCTCTAGTTAGGGCAGTGCTTGGCAGTATCTACCACCGGATCGGAATCACTAGAAGATCCAGCCAGAAACTCAGTGGGCTGTGTCTATAGACTAGTTCGCTTGATAAGTTCGATGAAGACGGTAACCAGCGCTTCAAGAGCCAACACCGATAGCGGATCCGGGGATCCCGCAAGACACGCTTCGGGCGACGGCGGCTTTGCTTTGCCCTATTTGGGTCGATTAAGTCACATTTAAAATCTTACAATTAACTGCAATATTTTTACAGAGTGCTTCATAGAACGACATCTATGCATTACAATATAAACCAATTGAAAAAAAACAGCGGTTTTGACCAGTCGTGAACCTTTGTGCAGCTAGTTCTTTTACATTACACGAGGTGTCACTGTTATACTTTTTTTAATTTTGTTCAATAGTTAAATCAGAAATTAAGATGCTTTGATCTTGTTTAAATTGTTTTATTTATGAATAAGATTAGAATTAAAATTAGCACAGTACAATAGGTACATTGTTTTTATTTTTGCTTTTGTATAAAATTCCTTCGTCGCTTGTCAATGGGGGAGGCCATTCCATAAAACGACTTAGGATCAAGGATAAGGTGAAAGGAATAAGGTTAATAAAAAACAAGACGTATGTTTTTTTTCGTCACGCGTATTCTACTCCTAAAAATGAACAGAAGTACGGCCTCCGGCCTTGTCGAAACGCGCGGAGATAAACCTAAGTAAGCTACTTTCTCTTGACAGTACGTGTTCACGAAATCTACTATTAATGCTTCGCTTAAAAATGAAAATCGTACTCCGCACAAATGGCAGCACATATTCCCTGATCGACTTGCGGGACAGTACAAACCTGTTATTTTTAATTACAAATTTAATTTGATTCGAGTCTGTTAACTGACTGAGTAAAAACAAAAATATGTTTTTTTTAGTTTTTTTTATTGCTTAGTTGTGTGAACGACCTCACAGCCCACCTGATGTTAAGTGGTTAATGGAGCCCATAGACATCTACAACGTAAATGCGCCACCCACGTTGAGATATTAGTTCTAAGGTCTCAAGTATAGTTACAACGGCTGCCCCACCCTTCAAGCCGAAACGCATTACCGAGGTACCACCTGGTACCACGTACGAGTCCACACGGGTAGGTACCACCAACCTGCCTATTTCTGCGGTGAAGCAGTAATGCTTTTCGGTTTGAAGGGCGGGGCAAACGTTGTACTGTTAAAAAGGAGACCTTAGAACTCATGTTTCAAGGTAGGTGGGCAGCATTTACGTTGGAGATGTCTATGAGCTCCAGTAACCACTTGACACCAGGTGGGTCTTGAACTCGTCCACAAAAGACGGAAGCAGTACACCTGCCGGTGTGGGTTTGCAATATGCCCTATCACCAGTAATTATGAAAATTTAGAATCGTCGCGTCGTGGCCTAAAGTATAAGACGCCCGGTGCATTCGTAGCAAGCAATACGACTGTTCCTGTGTTCAAATCCCGCAAGCAGGTACATATTTTTCTATTTCTACGTCTAATTCCAATCTAATACGTAATTAACAAATCACCAAAAATATAATTTGCTACTGTATAATTTAATAATTTAATACTAATATACTGAAACCTTAGAAATGATCATACCTGAAGATGATTTTTAAGTAATTATATTTGCTATTCAAAGTCTAATAATATAATATATTCTTGTCCGATGTCTATGTTATGTACTGGTTCCAATAAAAATTATAAAATTATCAAGAATATATCATTTAGCACTGACTGTCGAAGTGGATTTTATCAGTATTGTGAATAAACGCAATTCTGAAAATGACTTCATAAAATAAATTACAGTGACCTTAACAAAAATCGATAATAGCTACGATACGATCAGCGAGTTTAGTAGACATAGTGCTGCCATGTTTGTGTCGAAACATGTGTTATTACAACGAATAATCGATTAAATGACTGTAATATATTATTGCCCTTGTCGTTCTATTTCTACAAATGTAATTTAGTCAAATATGATACGAGCGATGAAGTTTTATAATAAAAATCGGTTGTCTGTAAAGTCGGTTTACTGACTATAGTTGAACGTGACAACGTCATAAGAAAATACTGATGGAATGGTTTCATTTTTCAGAAGAAAATTTTAATTTTATTTGTTTGATAGATATTTTGTATGGACAATTGACACCACATTCATTTTTCACTGAACTTCATACTTGACGAAAATATGTAAATGTATTATTGTATAACAGCAGTCCACGCGGATGCATCGCTCACTCAAGTAGGAGAGAGACAGATGTCGAACGCTGCCGAACGCGGAGGCCGATTATGTCTCTTTGTCGCTCGTTGCGCGCTCTCGCTTGCACATCAAGCCCTAAATGGAACGCTTCAGAGCGAGGTAACGCCGCATGAGTCATGTTTTTTCGTGCGTGCAGCCGGCTCCATCGAATTATAAGACGTTGTCACGTCAATATCACAAAATTACAGGTCACATTGAATGCATTTTGTTTAAATAAATAAAAAAATACATTAAAGTTTGTACAAAACTTGTACAACAAACTTATAGTCGACTTAACTTATACATATTTATTTATGTCTATGAGGCGCCTGAGGTCCACCTAGTCAAGTTCCCGTTGCCCATAAAAATCAGCTATTCAAACGCTGCCAAGAAACTGTCCACCTACAGTAGCAGTAGTTAAGGATTCTTTTCAAATTGGATTGGATGGATTGACGATGGGGTCGATATCACTGGACTCTGAAAACACTTAGAATGTGTATTAGTTCCAGAACAAATATGTATAATGTATTTCATACGAATATTAATTGCGCTTGACGATGGGTTCGATATCACTGCACTCTGAAAACATTTAGAAGGTGTATTAATTCCAGAACAAATATGTATAATTTATTATATACGAATATTAATTGCGCTTGACGATGGGGTCGATATCACTGCACTCTGAAAACATTTAGAAGGTGTACATATTAATTCCAGAACAAATATGTACGAGTATAATGTATTTCACACGAACGCACGGGTTTGCTCGAACAGCAAAAATTATTAAAAAAAAGTGTGTGTGTCCGCTCCGACGCACGACTGGAGTTTACTGGATATAAAAAATTAAACGAAACAATACGAGAAATAGTTCTATATTACGACAACACGATACACTACAGATTATTAACAAATTAACGAGACACAAAACAAACGACTAACAAATATATGAAAATACAATAATGAGAGAAACGCGCGATCAGTACGAGGCTTTGTGGCGGACTGCCGGCGCAGCAGCCCGGCGTCACCTGCGATAACGCGGCCGCGCGTTGGCTCCTGATTGGCGCGCGCACGCATCACGCAATCAGGAGCCAATCAGGCGCATAACGCATTTCGTGTGACATGCTAGTACGATTTTGGTCCCCATAATTTTCATACCCCGGGCCTATATATGTAAATCGATTCTAAAGGAGTAAACTCCAAAAAGGAGAAAGGAAATGAATGATAAAAAAAGGAAAAAGGAAAGGCAAGCTCGTAGAAGCACAAACTCAATGTTGTGAAATATAGGTAAATGGGTCACGTTAAGTTCAAGGCTTAAACTCACTAAAACCCCTGAAAATTGAATCTCGTATTAAGTTTTTATTCATTGGAATGTACTACGTAATTTTTTAATGTGTGTAAGATAAAATCATTGTATTTTTTTCTTTGTACTAGTTATAAATCACCAAATCAAAATAACTTCAAAATAGTCCTAAAAAAAGTAATATGAAATCATTTAAAATAGAAATTAATTAACAAATAAATATCTAGAAGATGTATTTTAAAAAAGTATTAAGAAAGGTAATTAATTACAACATATAAGAAAAAACAATAAAATTAAATGAATAGTAATTCTGATAACTTAAGTTATCTGCTTAACAATGTAGAATATAAAGTTAGATAATCGATCTGTAACGTCTTTTAATCATAATTGTACTATCTTTCCCCAAATCCTTATTCACAGAACGAGATAAGTCTCATGGCCATTGAGGATCAAGATGCTTATTCTAAAAATAGGAGCTCAATATCGTCGCAACCCTACATGAATTGTACACATTTTCTATGTAGTCTAAAAAAATGGTCTAAAAAAGTCTAAAAAAATATTAATGGTGGGAGCAATATGAAATTCATATGAATCTGGAGTAGATCTTGACGTAGTAATGCTGTTGCAATTCAAATTCCAGGTTTCATGTTTAAAAAATAGCCTTGTTTGCGTCAGTGTTGGCAGGATGCGCGGACACAATGCGCGCGCAACTTATCGCCATTTTGAATTTCCATCCCGCATCTGTTACCATAGAAGGGGGAACATTTAGAGCTTAACAGCTGTGAACGCGAAATACTGCTCATCCCTAAGGATATTCAAATAATTTAGTTAAAACATTTTTCAAGTAAACGCACACAAGCTGCTCATAACAATGGAGCGGTTGCTTTAATTTGTTAGTTTAACAAAAGTATACAACATAAAACAGTAAGTTACGAAATAGCATTTCTGAATTATCGATTGATTTGTTCGTAACAAATCTACGCAGCACGCATTCGTGTTTGCTTGACTTCCCATCCATATAAATTTCAAAGTGGGCTAAATGTGTATAGCCTTGTGAGATCCGCGACAGTGAAGAAAATCGATAAGCAAGTACTTTCCTGTAGCCTTGCTGACTGTAAGGCGAAGATAGTTCTCGAGGTTAATTTGTAAAGGCTAAACAGTTCCTTCGATCGCCTTCTTTGCATCTCGTTTACTAGGAAACACAGGAAGACTGTTCAAAGGTATAGTATATTTTTGAAATAATCACAAACATTTTGTTTTAGTTTCATCGAGCGAAATTAATTTGCACTCATAAATTTCATTGTACAATATTTCTAAAAGCGCTTTTGTGTCCCCATTAAAACCCACACCTAAAAATGGGCAACGTCTCAAAAGAAAAAAAATCAAGCTTTTCCCGAAAACTGCAATTTTTAGATGAATATAAACTGAAATCATATCAGTCTATTTAATCCGAAATGTTTTAGTAATTACTAGTATATTAGCAATAAATAAAATAACATAATCCTATATGAAGTCAGCCCGGATTCCGCCCACGCAAGTTCTGTAGTTTATCTGACATGAAAGAACTATGGGATATTGATCACAGCTATAAGTAAATCAGATAACTACAGCATTAAAAAAAACAGCCACCCATCTATTGCACAGGGCTCTAATCCTCTCCGAAAAAAAATGAACGGTACACTATATACTTATATAATATAAAAATTGCTGTTTGTGTTTAAGAGATTTTGTCTCGATATTTCTCTTTTAGAACTAATCATAATTTATTTCTGTAGGTTTATGTCAATAAGGCTTCATTTAAATGCTAAGGCTATTCCGTCTGGAAATTGAAAAATGTCATTAATGTTATTGAAAAATCAACTTAACGTCACTCTATCGCTTAGGAAATGACGTAGGATCCGTTATCTAAAACAACTAATATACTTTAACGGGATAGCGACAGACATATAGAAAATTGTACTCTATTTGTATGGCCAACAAAGAGCATTATTAAAGCTCATTTCACAAATATAGCTGTGTTTTAGTGATAGGTTGTATGGAACATATAATAGAGTCGCGTTTAGATTAATGTTAAAAACGTTATATGTACATACAATTTGTGTGTACATTAACTGTATTTTGCTGTTGAACGTTTGAAATAATGGTTTCAGTATGATACTATTTGAGCATTAGTTAGGTGGCTCTGAATAAAAAATGGATTCTACGTCATGCAAAATTATGAATACAATTGATGAAGAGGTGGTTAGTGAACACAGGTATAAATATAGAAAAAAAAACATATTCCCTATTGATATCTGAGATTTTGATTGTGTGCAGATGACTGGCGAAGCAAAATGGCAGAAAGATGCGGCGGATCAGAACTTCGATTACATGTTCAAACTGTTGATCATAGGAAACAGCTCAGTAGGAAAAACTAGGTAAGAACTTGTCAAGGATCTACTCGAAAACGTATCCTTTTTGCTAGTTTCTTTCTATTTCCATCAACAACATTTATAAAATGACAACTGTTTATAAAGAGAAACGACAATTACATAGGTTTAAGGTCAGTAGATGAGTTTTAAACAATGGTACTTTCGAATTTTAAATTCGAGTTGTTCCACCTTGTATTTACAGCAAAATCTACATCATTCTTTTTTTTTATTATTGTTGTTTATGTTCATACCATTTATTTAATTATTTCACTTTCTAATTAGATTTTATTGATATTCCATTAATATTTCATAGAATTATAAATTTGTGATACTTTCAAATTTTATTTTGTACATAATGTATTGATTTTTTCTCATTTGCCCCATTTTCAGTTTCCTCTTCCGATATGCAGACGATTCCTTCACTTCAGCCTTTGTGTCTACCGTTGGTATTGACTTCAAAGTGAAAACAGTTTTCCGGCACGATAAACGCGTCAAATTGCAAATATGGGTGCGTAATTGAATAAATCAGACATTTCATAGATTTCGACAAGATATGTCTAAATGACGCAACACATTTTGGTGTTAAGTTAGGGAATAATATTTTTACGTAATATGGAAAAGGAAAAATTTAAATGTTGTACTATATACCATACTATTTTTATATAAATTGTAGTGATTTAATGAATATCTACACTCCATGCTCGAAAAGATAATTTGTTATAAGGCTATATTTCTTTTTCTAGGATACTGCAGGTCAGGAACGCTACCGTACCATCACGACTGCCTATTATCGAGGTGCTATGGGCTTCATTCTGATGTATGATATTACTAACGAAGAAAGTTTCAACAGCGTACAGGACTGGTAAGCTTTGAAGTTTTTACTTTCTTTCCATCTGAATCTGTAAAATAAATATACGATTTAACGCCCAAAATAACATAAAAAACAGACAAAATATTTTGTACTTATGTAAATATACTTCATGATTGTTTTTGGTCATGTGAAGTCTGAATTATAAATACATTTTTTTTATGCTTTGATGGGTAGACGAGCTCACAGCCCACCTGGTGTTAAGTGGTCACCGGAGCCCATAAACGTCTACATCGTAAATGCCGCCACCCACATTGAGATATGAGTTCTGAGGTCTCAGTATAGTTACCCTCCAAACCAAAACGCATTACTGTTTCACGGCAGAAATAGGCGGACTCACAAGAGGTCCTACCACCAGTAAATACTTCATTAAAGTACATTTGAATTTCCGATTAATTTTTGGTGTCCAGTAGATTGTCCGGTCGTAAGTTTAGTACGTATTTTTTCATTATGTCGTTAAACTACAAGGGGCATGTCTAGTGATGCATAAAATAAACCGACAAACTCCACACCCAAACGCATACAAAAGCATTAAAATATATAATACTAGCTGACCCGGCAGATTTCGTAGTGCTTCAATCGATAAATAAAAGACCTAAACTTTTGTATAAAATAAACTTTAAAAAAAAAACAAAAGGAATCCGTCCGACGTGGGACACATCGAAGGGAAAACAAAATTGGTTTTTTTTATTTAATTCCGAGTGTTTTCGTATTTATCTACCTTTTAAACCTTCCCTAGATTTCCACAAATAATTCAAGACCAAAATTAGCCAAATCGGTCCAGCCGTTCTCGAGTTTTAGCGAGACTAACGAACAGCAATTCATTTTTATATGAATTTCATATATATAGAAGATTAACATTAATAAATTATAATGTACTAGGGTTACCCAGATTAAGACATATTCGTGGGATAATGCTCAAGTTATTCTCGTCGGAAATAAATGTGACATGGAAGAAGAGCGTGTAGTTAGCGCGGAGCGTGGACGACAGTTGGCTGATCAACTGGGCGTCGAGTTTTATGAAACAAGCGCAAAAGAAAATATAAACGTCAAGGTACAAAATGTCTGCTTTGTTTTAATTAGATCAATTGCTTCCGTCTAAAGATCAAACCTAGCCACTTAATAATTTGAATACATGATTAAGAAAAAATAGATTTGTAGCGTTGAATATAGACAATCGTGATAAATAGTTTACTAATGGGGATTCGTAAATGATAATCGTCAAGGTGCAAAATGTCTGCTTTGTTTTAGTTACATCAATTGTTTCCGTCTAAAGATCAAACCTAGCCACTTAATAATTTGATTACATGAATAAGAAAAAATAGATTCGTAGCGTTGATTATAGACAATCGTGATAAATAGCTTACTAATGGGGATTCGTAAATGATAATCGTCAAGGTACAAAATGTCTGCTTTGTTTTAATTACATCAGTTGCTTCCGTCTAAATATCAAACCTAGCCACCTAATAATTTGAATACATGACTAAAAAAAAAATAGATTCATAACGTTGAATATAGACAATCGTGATAAATAGTTTACTAATGGGGATTCGTAAATGATAATCGTCAAGATACAAAATGTCAGCTTTGTTTTAATTACATCAATTGCTTCCGTCTAAAGATCAAACCTAGCTACTTAATAATTTGAATACATGACTAAGAAAAAATAGATTCGTAGCGTTGAATATAGACAATCGTGATAAATAGCATCCTAATGGGGATTCGTAAATGATAATCGTCAAGGTACATAATGTATGTTTTGTTTTAACTACATCAATTGCTTCCGTCTAAAGATCAAACCTAGCTACTTAATAATTTGAATACATGACTAAGAAAAAATAGATTCGTAACGTTGAATATAGACAATCGTGATAAATAGTTTACTAATGGGGATTCGTAAATGATAATCGTCAAGGTACAAAATGTCTGCTTTATTTTAACTATATCAATTGTTTCCGTCTAAAGATCAAACCTAGCCACTTAATAATTTGAATACATGACTAAGAAAAAATACATTCGTAGCGTTGATTATAGACAATCGTGATAAATAACTTACTAATGGGGATTCGTAAATGATAATCGTCAAGGTACAAAATGTCTGCTTTGTTTTAATTACATCAATTGCTTCCCTCTAAAGATCAAACCTAGCTACTTAATAATTTGAATACATGACTAAGAAAAAATAGATTCGTAACGATGATTATAGAAACCGTGATAAATAGTTTACTAATGGGGATTCGTGAATGATAATACAATTTTTGTTTAGGCTGTATTCGAGCGACTAGTTGATATAATCTGCGACAAGATGTCCGAAAGTCTTGATTCGGAGCCAGCGATGTTGGCCGGAGGAGCCCGTGGTCAGCGTCTCACGGAGCAGCCTCAAGGAAGCAACAATCCTAACTGTAACTGCTAATAAAATTATTCACTGAAAAAGATAAAATTACTGATTCATTTGATTTATTATAAACGGAGTTTCGTCTTAAACAATTTAATAATGAACAGAATATTATCAAAATCAGTACATTTGTACAGTACTATTTGTTTCTTGATATTTACATTGAAATATTTCAAACAAATGTAACGTAAATTTAGACGATTTTAAAAACTTTAAGTACATTTTCAACCAATATAATTATAATATAAATTATTCAAATACTGTTACGTCAATCTTGAATAAAATTATATGTATTAACCAAATAGATTGGCTGTTAAAAATTATGTATTATTAAAATGAAATTATTGTAATAGTATTATTATCTTATAGATGTTACTTAGCTATATATGTGTATACTGCGAGCTGGAGTAGGGATCTGACAATTTACGTCATTTAAATATTTATTTGCACGATAATTGTTTAACTAAACAAATTGTAACTTAACAAGAAAAATACGATGCTATTATGAATTATTTCGAGAATATTATAATCTAAAGCTTCAAAATATCTTGGACCAAAGCTGATTTTGAAAAATAAACCTTAAACCAGATGTTCAAACTGCGCAAAAAGATTTTGATATATAGTTTTAGATTGAATCATTTGAGGAACAACATAATATTAAAGTTTATAAATTCTAACAGCAAAACTCTTAAGATTAAAGCTTTTTTTTTATGGCAACAAATAGTATAATGTTTAAAATAGATAATTAAAATATTTAATTTTCTAAAATTGAAGGAAAAATAATCCGTATTAAGCTATAAATTTTTGTTGGGCGGAGATTATAAACTTTGATTCTTGTTATCCTCGTTTAGTTTTTGATACTTCTTGTCTATGGATTACGAATGCTTCTGTTACTTTTTGCTACTAATCAACATGTATTTAGATGTTTTAGTGACGGTATTTACTAGAACAACGTCATTTGATTATTAAGTAGTTGATATTAATCGATGTTTGTTGTTATACTTTGATGTAATCTATCTTATTAATCGTGTTACCTAGTGTTGACAAAATTTAACAGGAACAAAACTTTATTGCAAGATTACTCGGCCTCAAGAAAAATTTGAATAATACGTGTCTAATCTTTAAAAAAAAAAAACTGATTATCTAGAATATGTAAATACGTTAACCGATGTATAAATGAATGTATAGTATTATCTACCTATATAATATAAACTCTCTTTGTATTCTTGTTACTACGCTACGTTAAAATCTTACTATAGGTGTTATTATTTGAACATTAGCGTAAGAATGGTCAAAGTGTTTCAGTTAATCGTTGTCTCATCTCAGGCTGTTACTTAAGAAGAAAAAAATATAAATTTTTAAGTCACTTGTGTGACGTCTTCGTAATCATATTTAAATATATCGACGCTTGAAAGGCAAACGTGACTAAGCGGCAATGCGTGAACTTTACAGTAGACTACTTTAAAGTTGAAATACCTGAAAACAAAATTTATTTTAACGAATCTAGCTGTAGTAGAATCTAGCTAGTAGCTGTAGGATTGAAATGATTTTAATAGACCTAGAAATATTATTTTTTTGCGCATAGAATATGGTTATTGCCTATCATTTATGTACAAAGCAGTTATTGTCGCAGTCACGTTTGCCTTTCAAGCGTCGATATTGTTGTATTAGTTCGCACGATGGTTACAGGAACAGATTAGGATCAGTTGTCGAGGTTTGTTGGAGGTCTATATCTGGTGGTGGACATCGTTCGACTGATTCAATTGCTTAATGTCCATGTAGTTCATGCTTTAGGATGAGTATTTCTCATGCAAATAGGAAACCGTACATAGTTTTTTTGCAATATTTTTGAAGACATTCGAGTAAAATTTGGCAGCATATTAGGAATTTTTATGTTAATGGAATGAACAATGTTTGGATTTAAATCGTTCTCTCGACTGCTTACATAAGCTTGTTAGAAATTGTATGAGTATTTGCTTAAAATTTTTTTTGATGTCACACATAATAGTTTAAATGTTTTTTAAGCTAGTGTTTGACCTTATCTGTAGAGGAACTAGACAATACATGTTAAAAATTACATTTTGTTGATGACATGAGCACATTATTTTTAGAGTCTAACTATATACCTACTAGAAAATATTAGTTAACAAACATAATTATGATAATCTTCGTTATGAGATGTAAACAAATATACGTATTTACTTACCGTTTTAATATTAACTTATTGCTTTTATAAATATAATAAACGCGGAGGTATGAACCATACCAAAATTGCTTCAGAGGACACTTTTATCGTTCTATTTAAAAAAAAAAACATATAATACAAAAACAAGAAAATATGTTTTTTTAAGCAAAAATTTGATTATTTTAAAAATTGACATTTAGCACTCATCAATATTCACAAATCAAAAGTCAATTCATTCAGAATTAATTATTAATATACTCGCAACAGTCAGCCCATGTCACTGAATTAAAAACGAATGAAGTTAACATGACATAACAGATCAAATTTAAAAGTTCAGAGGCTACGATGTCAAAATAAAGTAGAAAGTATAATATCTAGATGAGTGGAAGTTCTTTTCAATGAACGAAGATGCATATCGTAGTGATGGGTATAATGTAGCACTACTTAGAAGAATTTAGTGAACGCAAGACTATGCTTTTCTTTCATTCTCTTAGGAAAAACTAATATTATGATAATCTGAAAATATGATTTTAAATATGTTTTCATGTTCATATAAAATCATTTATTCTTATTGGTGTCATAAACATGTAATCGATTAGACGTGTTCTCATTATGTGTGTTAAAGTATTTGTTGTGCGTTGATAAAGGATTTATTTAAAAATACACAATGTAAGAGATTCACGAAAATATATTATAAATATTGAATGGGATTGGGTGTTTTCTTTTTCAAATACCTTATAGTTTTTATACTAACATAAGTACGGACCCATTTTCTTCTGCAACAGATTGACGCAAAAGATGAAAGATTTGGGTGATTAATCACATACAGTGTATTAAGTTACTTTATACTATATTTTTACCGTTAATACAAAATTAGTTTTCCATATATTATATTCTGTTAGACGATGTCAACAAAAACACAATAATATTTAAATAATTGTTATTATTACAAATCTTGACTCTTGATGATCAAATTTAAGCTTATTTAGCAGTTCTGATTTTGCTTGGATACAAGACCACGAGGCGCGTTTCATGAGGTCAAGGCTCTCACGATGTGGCTTGACAAATATCACAACAACTTTTTAATAATAGAATGACGTAAGCTATTTCCTCATAAGGTAATATTAGGGATATGGTAGGCTCATTCACAATCAAAAATCTGATAGTTTATGAACTTCATAATTAATGAACAGCTTAGGTAATGAATTGAAAGAGCACTCTTCAGACTTCTGCTTTGTCGTTGTCTTGATTGCTGAGGGTCACGTTCAAACTGAATTTTCTTAAATCAATTAATGTATGAAGCCTATCCGTATTTTTGTCCTCAACCTTTTTTAATTTCTCAAAGACATGAGGCATTTCATTTGGTTTTTTTTAGCGAGCGGATAATCGATCGCATATTTTTTTCCGTCGACTCCGGATACCTCAAAAAGCCTTTTTAAAATAAGAAACACGACCTGGCCGATAATATCACGGCCCATCTGATGTCAAATGGTTGCCGGGACTAATAAATGCAACCCACCCTTAGAAATGAGGCTCATGTGAAGATGTGCAATAGCTTCGATTTTTTTTCTTTATTTTTGGTTTGTTCTAAGGATAATATATGGTCTTGGAAGCTTGAATTAGGAAAAATAAAATGAATATAAAATATGACAGTATGATTTAATTGTGTATATGATAGGTTGGGGAAAAGTTTCTTCGCATTTTTAAAAAAAAATACAAATTTTTTTAATATAGTTTATTTACATTTAATTAAAGTATGTATGTACCATCTTGTTCGATAACTTTTTACCATCTTGTAGGTAGGGACATGATCCCATTGCTATATAAATTTTGGGGTTTCTGATCAAAATACCGCGACAATTGGTTTTAGCAGTCCTTTCGTGATGTTGACCTGACACTGCCTAAATAATTCTGAAGAGACCGAAACAAGTGGAAATCTGAAGGTGCAAGGTCAAGACGGATGCATTAACACCACCCAGCCAAATTCTCCTAATTTTTGCTGAGTGGTTAAAGACATGTGAGGTCTAGCGTTGTCATGATGAAAAACCACACCCCTTCTGTTGAATAATTCCGGCCACTTTCTTTCAACTTCTTGCTTTAATCTCATCAGTTGTTCGCAGTAGAGTTCAGAATCGATGGTTCTGCCTGGTTAAGCTCTGCTAGCTGTTAAGCTCATAATGAATAATGCCCTTCCAATCCCACCACATACACAGCATCACCTTGTTGCGAGTTAACCCGGGTTTCGCCACAGTCTGTGAAGCCTGACTGGCCTTTGACCACGACCTTTTTCGCACGTTCTTGTCATACGTGATCCACTTTTCATCACCAGTTATCAGCTTCTTTAAAAATAGTTCGGTTTCATTATGTCGTAATAAAGAATCACAAATGAGTACTATCACAAATAGTTCATTTGGTTTCTTTCAGTGAGCTCGTGAGGTACCCAAATATCGAGCTTTTTTGTGTACCGAGTTTTTTTCAAATGCGCCAAAACTGTTTCGTGGTCAATTCCCAGTTCTTCAGCTACGTTTGTAACAACAGACGTAACGACCTTGCTCCACTTTTTAAAAAATGGCATCCATTTTATCCGTAATAGGGCGACCAGAGCGACGTGCATCTTTGACATAAAAATTTCTGGATTAAAAACGTTTAAACCAAATTTGTGCTACTTACTCTCACAGACCCTACACTAGATCCATAAACATCGCAAATATTTTTCACGGCTTGCGTTGCATTTTTACCTTTTTTGTAGTAAAATTTTTAAATGTATCGAATTTCTTCATTAGATTCACTTATCTTGACAGTACGAAAATAAATAAAAATCACACGTTTTCCTAATTTGAATTTGGAACTTTTAATGATACCAAAACCAGGCACCAACCAGGTCCTACCAACTGGTGGTAGGACCTCTTGGGAGTCCGCACGGGTAGGTACCACCACC